TATCATGTCCTTTAACTGGTTGCCCGTGCTGATAACGGACCAGCTCACCTTGGGTCCCTGCAGTCCTTTTCTGTTAATTCAGGAGCCATTCTTTTTGTATATTTAGATCTCTGACTTCTATGTTTTCTGATTTTTCCCTCAGGGTGGAAGCCCGACTCCCTTTGATAGGAATTTTGCCACTAAGATGGGCGCTAAGGCTATGAACTGGATGTCTGGGAAAATCAAAGAGAGCTACCGTAATGGTATGTGAGGTGGGAGGATGAGCCCCTTCCCCACAACTTCACTCCACTGCTGAGAGACTAACCGACCATCCTTCATTCCAGGACGGATCTTTGCCAATACTCCAGACTCAGGTTGTGTTCTGGGAATGCGTAAGAGGGCCCTGGTCTTTCAGCCAGTGACCGAGCTGAAGGACCAGACAGATTTTGAGTAAGTCATTACATTCTAGAATGGCCGTCTCCCTGCCAATAGCTACCAAGCCCTACTTTCCACAGCCTGCTATTGTCTCCAGTGCCTTTCTTTTTGCAGTAACTCACACCTATAGGTACTCATGCCCTAAATCAGCCTCTTTTGCACAGCTTCTTCCATAAGCTTTTGGTAGAAGTTTATTGGCATATGATAAGACCACATCACCATTATTTCAAGCCTTTGGTAGAAGTTTGCTGGCGTATGATAAGATCACATCACCATTATTTCATCTCTCTGTAGGCACCGAATCCCTAAAGAACAGTGGTGGCTGAAGCTGAGGCCAATCCTCAAAATCCTAGCCAAGTATGAGATTGATTTGGACACTTCTGACCACGCTCATCTGGAGCACATTTCTAGGAAGCGGTCTGGAGAAGCTGCCGTCTAGACCTCTTTGGAGGGAGAGAGTCTGATCATGGTCAGCTCTGGTACATCTAAGTCCATGATTGCTCAGTGTGTTAGCCTTAGCCCTCTACTCTTTTAGGTTTCCTTGTACCCGCAACCCTGATCAGCTGTGGCCAGGAGTTGGGGGAGGAGATTCAGTGAGTGAATCTCCTTCTAGGTAGCTGTCATTGCTTCTCCCCACACATAGGCTGGATTTCTCCAGTGTTACTGCTAGATTTCAGTTACCCAGAGTTTTCCTGAAAATAAGCTTTATTTATTTCTTTGTGATAACAAAGAGTCTTAGATCCCTGTAGTTTTACCACAGTGATGGAGTATAACTACACTAATAAATGCCAGCTGGTCACTGTGCTTTGGTGGTGTCATTATTACCTTCACAAAGGGAGTGTATTGATACCAGCCCCATGTCTCACACCTACCCAGACAGAACTCCCAGGAGAATAGCACATGTGATGTCCTGTGCAATTCTGCTTGTTGGAGGTTTCTTATTTTATTTTTTCCAGCATATCTTGGTGTATAGTGTCCCAAACACATGGCATAGCCCATCTCCCACAAGTCCCTCTATCATCCTCTACAGTCAAGATGATGTGCCTGTCTCCAAGCATGAAGTTATGGTGTAGCTCTTGATTATTTATCCATTACCTGGGCTCACTTCTTCCATGTCATCCCATAATCTCTGCTCCTCAACTCAGTACTTTTCCTTTTTTTTGGGGGGGGGTGAGGGGAACGGTTCACTACAGGATTTCTCTGTGTAACAGCCCAAGCTGTGCTGGAACTCACTCTGTAGAGCAGGCTGGCCTTGAACTCACAGAGATCCACCTGCCTCTGCCTCTGAGCACTGGGATTAAAGCCCAGCACATTCCTCCTTTTCAACCCTGTCTTGAATGAAAGCCAGACTCTGACAAACATGCACGTTTTTGGAAGCCTCAACAATAGACACACCTGGTTCTGGGCCTTGCATTGGTGGGTCAGTTGGAATCCTACTCCGCTGCAGTTTGTTTTCTGTCCACAGCAGATGCTGTGTCATTATTACTGAAGTGTCCACTGCAGTTGGGCCTTAGAACTGGGACTATAAACTGTCCCCAGCTTGACAGGAGGGTGTCCTATTTTGAATGTGCAGTTAAGATTAGCCCCCATACACCAGACTGTAACTCTCAGTTACATATGTACCTATTCTTCCCAATCCATACAGCTTTCCTCCTTGCCTGTTTGAGTAGGAAAGACATTCACAATATTGCAATAGGTGTCTGGCTATCTGAAATACTACTTTACATCTTTGTAACAGTTCTAAATAGGTATTGCCAAAGTCTGAAGTAGAAGCAGCTCAATGCTCTTTGGCATTCCTTAAAGGCCAGAGAAAATAACATTAAACACCAAGTGCTGTGTTAGGCATTCTACATGTTACCATTGAATCCCCAAAATAGCATTATGAGGAGAGTGCTGACAACCCTTTCCAGAGATAAGGACTGTCTCAGAGTGGATTAAGTAATGTCTCCTGGGCTTAGAGTCTAACAAAATTAGGAATCAAACTGATCTTAAAAAAAAAAAGTGTATATATACATACATACATACATACATACATACATACATATTAGCTGGGTGTGGTGATGCATACCTTTAATTCCAGTACTCAGGAGGCAGAGACAGGTGGATCTCTGAGTTTGCGGCCAGTCTGGTCTACTTAGTGAGTTCCAGGACAGCCAGAGCTACATAGTTAGACTCTGACTCAAAACAAAATAAATTAGATTTTTTGTTTGTTTGTGCACCATATACATGCCTGAAGCCCACAGAGGTCAGAAGAGGGCATCAGACCCCCCTGCAACTGGAATTACAGTTGGTTCTGAACCACCATGTGGGTACAGGTCCTCTGAAAGAACAGCCAGTGCTCTTAACGGCTGCACCATTTCTCTAGCCCCAGTCAAACTGATTTGAAAGCCCACCTGCATTATGCTACTCAAATTCAAACAACCATACAGACCAAAAAGAAAGTAGACAGAGAGCACCAGCAAACACTGGGACACAAGTGCCAACTGCCCGTCATTTACAGGCTCCCTTCCCATAGTTAATCCTAGGGCAGGTGGGCGTGGTCAGTGCCACAGAAGGACTATCTCACTACAATCACAGAAGAAAAATGGCACTTCACAGAGAGTAGTATTTTAGGATCACAATAAGAAAACAAATATAGTAAACAAAGACCACTTAGAAAGAAAAACAGTACATTCCATCTTCTCAAAGTTAAAAAGATAGGTGAAAATGTGTTTAAAGGAATGAATGTATTACTAGTCACCAACTGTAGCTATGAAGTGACTGAGAAACAGGTAACCCACTTGGACAAAATGTTTTCACTGATGAGAAAGGGAATGGCATCTAGATCGTGGTTCACACACCTATCTGAACAGCATAAGCCTGGCTGCCTAGTTCCATTCTGAACTAATTCAACCTTGGTAGGTGGAGTTTGGGCTTTAGCATTTCATTTCCCTCAAAACTATTAGGTTTGAGACCTGTTACCTACAGTAGTGGATCTCATTCCTGGCTACACCTTAGAATCCTCTAAGAACGCAGCCCTTCCTCAGAAAGCCTAAGCAGTATGGGATAAAATCTTGGCCTTAGCATTTTTAAAGCTTTCTTGGAACCTTAATGTGTAGCATTTTTCATTTTATAAAATTTATTTTATTAACATGTTTGCCTACGTGAGTCTAAGTGTGCCATTTGCATGTAGGATCCTACAGAGATCAGATTTTCCCTGGAACTGGAGTTTCAGATGGTTGTGAGCCACCATGTGGGTGCTGGGAGCTGAACCCCAGTCTTCTACAGCTGAGCTACCTTGCTAGTCCCTTTTTGTAATGGTGCTAGTCACTGAACCTATGGCCTTGAGCATGCTGGTCACATACACTATCACTGAGTTACACCCACAGCTGAGGTTAAGAATAAAAGCAGAAATTTCAGCTCTGGGGTAAGGGGATGTATGACAGAAACAGAAGCCTTTAAACACCGTGCCCAGCTTTCCTATTCACCCAAGTCCAGAATCACTTGCTGAGAGGAGATGGAAAGGTCTGCCGAAGAAGCAAGAAATTTCTTATAAATGTGCAGAAGAGGAAGTAGAGAAAAGCAGAGACAGTGGAAGTTGCCAAGTTTGCTTCTAGAATTATTTATTTATTCTTTTTCAAATGGGCATCCCCCGGCAACAGAGAAGGACAAAAGCAGGCATACTATTTCAAGTTAGCTGCGCCAGACTGCCCTATTCATTTGGGGGTAGTTTCAGCCAGCTTTTTAAAAAGTGCTTTCCAAACTTGCATACAGATAACTTAAGGTCAGTATCAACTTCATCTAGCTTAAGAACATGAAAAGAAGAATATTGTTCACTGCAACAGGTCCTTTTGGGGTAGGCAGGCCAATTCCAAAGAAGCCCCTTTTATATTCTGTTCCCAGCTCTACTTTCCCTACCATTTTCTATAGCTCAATAAAAAGCAAAAGTTCCAAGAGGGTGGAAGAAAGGAAAAAACAAAACAACAACAAAAACAACCCCAAAACCAACAAAGAAGCTCCACAGAGAAGGCAGTGGCCCCCACCCTGTCTTGCTAGAGAAACACATTCATCTAAGTGCAGGGAACTCATGCTCAACCCGCTAGTGCAGAGGAGTCTCAGGGAAAAAGAGCCCCATTGGAAGAATGGTCTGCCAATCTTGGGACTGCTGAGACTCTGTATCTCTTCTTGTGGGGAACAGCAAAGTATTTCTGTGAAATCATACTGCTGGATGACTAGCACTCAGGCACAACTATAGAAAAAGGCAAAGAATTATTTCTTTTGGTGAGGAGAAAAAAGCCAGTTCTTTCCGAATGCCCAATTCTGAGTTTACATCCATCTGAAGTTGGAGCATTCATCCCTGGAACATAATTCTTGTCCATTGGAATTGTGATTTTTCTTAAACTTCAGATTTAACTAAAAATTTTTAGGAGACACTCCTTCACAATGCTAAACCATGGCCCCAAAGGAAAACCATACTCTGAGTTCTTTACATCTTCCTAGGCAATTTAGTTAGTGTTGACTCTCAGGGTCCTACAGGGGGTGGGAAAGACCTCTTTTGCAGGGTTCACTATCAAGAGGCAACTAAACAATAAAACAGCAAACAGAAGTGCAGGAAGTTTGTTATTTTGGGTTTGGTTGCTTGGTATGGAGAGGGGAGATGGTGCACACATTACTGCTGTGATGTGCTGCCTCAAAAACCTATAAACCACATGACAGGAACAGGTTCTTTTCTGTGTTCCATGACAAAGAGACAGTATTGCAAAGAAAACCTCACCCAGAGTTGTCTGCATGATGGCGGACATTTCTCCTCCAGGCTATTCTAAGAGTAACAGGTATTCCTTCAAAGAAGCTGGCAGTGGAAGACCCTTTACCGCATCGGGCAGGTACAGGGGACCCAGGCTGTGGCGTACAGCATAGCGGGCAAGTGTCTTAAGAGTTCCTGGTGCTGAGCATAACATAGTCAGTTTTTCACATAGCTGCTGGTCTTTGGTCACTTCTCTTGGCATGGTGCCATTTTTCCTTAATTCAAAGTGTCCAACAGCTCTATGGAGGAGCTCAAAGCAGGAGTCTTCTTTTTCTGTTCCAAGTCCTCTAACTAGCAGAGCCACCAGGCGGGAGATGGGTGTTTGACCTTTCAAGTTGATGACTTTGACCTCAGCACCATAATCAAGAAGGATGCTGACACTTTCAAGATTTCCCTTCATGGCAGCCCAGCTGAGTGGTGTATCATTGTTGTAATCCAGGGCATTGACAGAGGCCCCACTCTCTAGGAGAGTGCGTACACACTCAGCATTGTTCTTAAAGGCTGCCCAGTGAAGCGGGGTGTCTCTGTTGCCATCCAGTGCATTGGGGTTTGCACCATATTCCAACAGGACCTCCACACAAGCCTCATCTTTCTCTGCAGCATAGTGGAGGGCTGTTCTGTTGTAACCATCCAGGGCATTGACCTACAGAAAGGAAGGAACTGTTTTACAGTGGGCAGTGTACTAGGAAGAAGAAAGAGGCAGGCAAAGAATACTGTGTGAATTTGCCATGCAGTGCTCTCAACAGTAAGGTAATATACAATTCTCCTGAAGTCTTGGTGATCAAGATGACATAAATGAGAAACAAATAGGAACTGTCTGAGTACAGCCAGCTATCATCCTAACTGACTGGGAGGACTGTAGTGTCCACTTCTCTACTCAGGAGTCTCTGTCATACAGCAGGGAATGAAGAGGGAAAAGATGGAGGCCGTCTTTAATGCTGCTCTGAAAGAAATTCTGGATTATTTGACCGGACTCTTTCTATATCCTGTGATTAATGGACACCAGGAAAAGAAAGAATGTAGTCAAAACTTTGTCCTTTCCGCTTTGTCATGTCATCCTTTTAACCCTACAGAGATCTCAGATGAACTTGTGTGGTGGGAAGAACACAAACTTCCAGAGCTGAAATGGCAGTTGCCTCACTGAGTCAATCACTACTTCATATTCCTGATCTATAGATGGCTTAAGACCTCCTCCATACACACGGTGCACTAAAGCCAAAGCAAACCATTTAATGGAGCTGACTGTTTTATTTTGTTACGCTCCACTTTCCCGATGGTCACTGGTATTAGTCACTCAGGGCATAACTGGTTTTTCACTTCATGGTCACTTACATTACAAAAAGGTTTAACCACAAGATTATAGGCTAGCTGGTGCTGCAGAGAACAACATGGCCATATGGTGCTGTAGCGAGACTTGCTTCTTCTGCTTACTGTCCATCATGATTGCGACTGCACTCGCTTGATGGCTTGTCTGCTTCAAACTCAGCATATACCACCTTCAAGACAGCTCACCAACAATTTATCATGTACTTACGTAGCAACTGTTACAGGACAGAAATCTAAACACTTTACCACCTTACAACATACCCTCTTTATAGATGGGGAAACTGAGGCAAAGGAAGGGTTACAGTTATCTGTTTGGGGTCCCCCAACTAGAAGCACTTGTGCTGGAAGTGGGATCTGTGAAATTTGTTCCAAAGTCCTTTGAGGGAGCAGAGTTTTGTTATATAGCCAAGCTGGCCTCCAACTCACAGTCCACCTGACTCATCCATCCCTCTCAGTTCTAGGATTACAGGTGAACATATACCATCATGCCTGGCTCAAAGTCTATTCTTTTCATCATTCTTTATATTATGTAGCTGCATGCCAATACCAAGAGTCTACTTTCAAAACTTAACCTTTTATTTTTATCTTAAGACGCAAAGTAGGTAAAAGTCTCCAGAACTTCATACATCTAAGAGTATCATGCATAGAATTAACCAGAGCTCAGAAGTCTCTGTACTTATGGTAACTGTATAGTCCACAGGTGAGGAGTCAATGGAAATATGAACAACCCCCAGGAGGAAGGCAAGGAAGGAAAGAGAGCCATGCACAGCTTAAGTGAAAGAAAAAAGAAAGGCCAAGGGATAAAATCCTTAGACTCATGGATTTATGATTATACCTTGCTTTAGTATCAGATATGCCAATGTCACTATGAGTTAAGCTGGAGGGTACAAAGGGAAATTCTAAGAATTGTGAAGGTCACGTTTTTATGGCTCATTAATGTGAAGGTGTCAGAAGCATCACTCACCTCTGCTCCCTTTTCCAGGAGTAACTCCACACAGTCAGCATCTGACACCATGCAGGCACAGTGCAGGGGCTTCAGCGTGCCGTGGGTGCAGTTCACATCTGCTCCCTATGGGAAGGAATGAAGAAGCCGCAGAAGGAACTTGATGGGGAAGGGACTCCTAAGCCTGAATATACTTTAACTACAATTACTTATTATTCCCAGTAATTTATTCCAGTACTCAAACCAAGGGAATATTGAAAGGGGGAAAAAAAAAAGGAAGTCATTTCCCCAGATAAAGTTATTAAGTTTCTCCACAACACAGTCTCCTACTCAGACACCTCTGAGGACATTGCCTTATATATAAAAGCTGCAGGAAAGCTGGCCCAGCTACCCACTTTCTATGGACACTTTGCAAGTTATGAAAATGTGTCTTAGACTGAAGCCAGAACTATCAGGCTCTTTTTGCAATTCAACAATGACCCTCACTAACTATAAGGCAGCTTTAATATGTTTACAAACTCTTCAAGGTGGTTTGAGTCTCAGCATTACTGTTAAAGAAGGCTCAAAGTATGCTGTTCACATCAAAGCCTGAGTGACTCCACAGCAGAGCTGGACAAGAACAGTTACTACTGCTGAGGGTTCTCACGCCACTGTGCTGAGAACAAGCTATGGCATATCTTCCTTCAGCAGGTGTGCAACTCTGGCCCAGAGAGAAGATCCTAAAGTTGTTTTAAACGGTGGAGTGCAGAGTAACTACATGGTTACATTTTCCAAAACATTACTCTGTAATTTCTCCTCTTCAAAGGGTGAAAGGTACCAAAACTTTCTAGGGTACTAATCACGTGACAGAAATAATGACTGCAGTGCTTAGAGATCAGAGAAAGTGCTTCCTTTCTTTTAAAGAAGCAAGACTTGTTTTTAAGGACATGTATGCCTATGTGTCCTTGTGTGAGCTCTACATATGAATGCATGTGTCCACAGAGGTCAGAAGAGGGCATCAGAACCCTTGGCGCTACCGTTTCATGTGGTTGTGAGCTGCCTGATATGGGTGCACACTCTCCATCACCGAGTCAGCTCTCCAACCCTTATTTTCTTAATCTGTAGCTACTACACACTTTAGGGTACAGAGTCTGCTATGGCACTAAAACTGGTAGCTGCTGTAACCAAGCAGGAAACAGAAATCTCTCCCTGCAATTGCCATCACCCAGGTTTGAAGGAAACCTCCAAGAACTTAAAACCTGACCTCTACTTTGCTTGCCTCCTAAGACCCTTCCTAAAACATGTACTGAAGACTCTAAGCTGAATGGCTTTCACACATGTGCATATACTGTATCCCAGCAGGTTTAAAAAGAGTAGGGCTATCTAAAACCATATGTTATGGAGAAAAACATTAGGGACATAAAGGCAGATGAAGCAAGAGTTAGGGAGAACATATATTACTGATCACACTAAACACTGATGGACATGGAGAACATGCTCAAATCAAGGTTGCAACTCCAAAACCTATGGGGATTTTGCAGGGACTCTTGACACTTCTCCTTTCAAAGGTCTGCTCTATCAAGAACGGCCCACTCACCCCTCTGATGAGGTCCTCTACGTTGTCATGTGGGAAGGAGCGAATGGCAGCGATTGTTCGGATCAGGCGTTCTGAGAGGGAGTATTTGCTCTGAATGCTCTGCATAATGTACCACATACTGGAACTCATCAAGGCTCAGAGTATGTCCACATGCTCCAAACTGCCTGAAATAGAGAAGCTTTAGGCATATGCAACATTGCTGAGTGAGTATGCCTGTTCTCTGGGTTAAGCATTTTCTGAGGGCTTCCCACTATAAAAACGGATGCCAAGGAGCTCAGTGGCTAATTAGTGCCACCTCCTGTAATAGTAAGGCAGATTATAATAGTTGCTAGGTTAAGTAAACCTGGATAATCTCCAATGACTAGAAGATCTCCCTAAGAGGCCCAGTACTAAGATCCCCATGGAGCCCCACGTGGTCTACACAGCTACAAGGCATATGATGGGTTCCTAAAGCCTGAAGATAGCAGGAAACACTTTTCAGCCTCTGAGTTTTTGTTATTTATTATCAACATTACTTTAAGGTGCTTAATGTATTTGCCTCACAATATAGCTATGCACACATCGTTGTTTTTCCATCTGAATTAAAATCAGCTGGACAGATAGGGCTTTGTCTTCTGCTCAGTAAAGCCAACTGCCACATCCCATAAGATGTAGACATTTAACACATATTGTTTGCTTGATGGGCTAGGGAGATGCCCAACACTTGGGAGGCAGAGGCATACAGATCTCTATGAGTTTGAGGCTAGCCTGGTCTACAGAGGGAATTCTAGGACAGCCAAGGCTACACTGAGGAATCTTGTCTCAAAAAAAAAAAAAAAAAACCCAAAACAAAACTGGAGAAAAATATAACTATAATAATAATGTAATGTATAAAGTATAATAATAAGCAGCTCCAACTCTTAAGTGTTTTACTTAGGAATCTGTGTTTTTATTAAATATCAACTCCTCAAAAGTTAATGGGAGGCTTTTAAACTAGTGCCTGGCACACGAAGGTCCTCAATATACATTTGGGGTTTTTTGTTTGTTTTGTTTTTCCAGACAGGGTTTCTCTGTGTAGGTTTGGAGCCTGTCCTGGAATTCAGACTGTAGACCAGGTTGGCCTTGAACTCACAGAGATCTGCCTGCCTCTGCCTCCCCATTGCTGAGATGAAAGGCATGTGCTCTCAATATACATTTGTTAACCCAATATTTGACTTGTCTTCACACCATCCAGCACTCAGGATCCACCCACTGGGTCAGAAAAGCTGCTGTCAAGGTGTGACCCAGAAGCAAAAGCTTGTACTTTGGAACCTAAAAAATTTCATAATAACACATGCAATGACTAATAGCACGATTATGAAAAAATACTTTCAGGAATTCTGTAACATAGATTTGCTTTTGTGGGGGGTATCCCTTTATACATTATATACTGTAGAATAAATTCTGTTGGTTTCTTTCTGCTAATCAGTAGCCATTTATATGTTTCAAGGTATGCAAGGTTGTGGGCATGGCTTGGCAGTAGAGTTGCTGCTCCTTAGAATTTAGCAAATTCTTTTTCCAATTCCTAGCACTCAAACACACACTCACCCACCCCCCCCCCCAAGGGGTCCCAAGAATGGTGTGGACGGAGGGGACAAAACCCAGGCTATGTAAAGCGGATGCCTTGGGCTGAAGTAGCTCTGTTAAGTTTCTGGTATACGGTTAAGTAGATGACAATGAATCCTGCCCTCATTTGACCGGTGTTCCTGGATTCCAGGGTAAGAACTCTAATCTAGAGCATGACAGGTGTGCCTCTCCTGCTACCATGAAGCTCCAGGTGAAACAGCATTACTTGAAATAAGGTCAACATTTGCACTCAGGATGGGTCAAAATAATCTACCTGCAGTTTGATCCCTTGAGGGTCCTTTCTTAGCTGTGGCTCACCTGCACCCATGCCCTGTTTTCTTTCCCTATGGAATATAGCGGAAACCCCATGGGGGGATAGAGGGGAGGAAAGACACTCAACAGACCCAACAGCTCCTTCTCTGGGCAGGCCTGAGCCTCGCCGCAGTGGGGACTGTCAGCCCGGACCCGGAGCATCCAACCCCAGGACACCTGCTGCTTGCTGGAGGCTCGCGGCCGCCGGGCCTGGCCGAGCTCAGGAGCCTGGACAAGGGCACGAAATGCCAGGACTGCGACGTCCCTTGCAGCGGGGACCCCAGGAGCTCGCAGCAATCCCGGTGAGCCCCGGGAGCCTCAGGCTGCACCCCGGGGCGCGGACACTGAACTGTCCCCGCCCCCACCACCCGCAAAGGCAGGGAACGGCGGCGCCGTCCGGAGGCTCGCAGCTCCGAGGCTCGTAGCCCGGGCGGGGCAGGCGGCCAGGGACGTTATGGCTGCGGAGCACCCGGGTGGGGACCTGGCTTCATACCGTCCCCACACCCACGGCCGCACTCACCGAACCGTGGGGCACAGCTCGGTCCGGGAAGCCGCTGTCAAGCCGTGACCCGGAAGCAGAAGCGGCCCGCGGCAGGCAGCCCTAGAGTTAGCGCTAGACGACCGAGTTGCGTAGGCGCCTGCGCGCTTGCGCAGACTCTCCAAGCTGAAGGTACTTAGATATTTTTTTTCACCAAGGGAGTCTGTTGCTTTTCTCCCGTCGTTGCTACATAAAAGCCATGGGCTCGGGCGCAATCTCTAGCTCACTCCCAGCCTCCGGCCTAGCGTCCTGGTCCAATGGTGGAGAGGAAATTCACAAATCCCGGCTTTCAAACCTGTCCTATAAGGCTGCGTCTGTGTGGGCCAGATCAATAATGTAGGACCATCCCACTAGTCTAGACACAGCCTCCCTGTGTCTAGATCCTAAAACGATCCTGGACACCTCATCCCCACAATTTTAGCACCATCTATTTCAAAGTGGAGTACAAGCTTCACATAACCTAGCGAGGGGCTGGTGACTGCCTCTACTCGATTTGATTAAGCCAGCTTACTTGAAGCACAGCGCTCCCTGAGAATTCACCACACAACTAAAGCAGGTTTCCACTTTACCCAACAGACAGAGGCAAAGGATCCAGCAACACAAGGTACTAGAACCTGGAAGGTGACTCTCTTTGGGCCTTGGCAGTTCTGGTCCACCAAGCAGCACTGTGGAAGACTACAAGGCTAGGGTATTGGTTCCGAGAATGATATTATTTCACTCAGTTTCTCTGAATATTAACTTTCTCCATGTTGACTGTAATGATACTTACAAATCCTTCTATTTCTAGGAATTTCATTTTTACGTAATTCCAAAGCAAAAGGTCTTGCTTCCAAAATGCTTACTCGGTTGTCTAAATTCGAACAGCTCTTATGGCTATCTTGATGCTATTGCACTACAACAAAATGGAACCCGTGATCATTTCATTACAAAGTTGCAAAGTCTACAGTATCCGTTCCATTTTTTGCTTCCGCTGGTGCCTTCTTTCTAAAGGAAGGTAAGGACAATGACGATTCTCAATTTCAAATTTTAAAAATACTTTTGTTATAAAATAATCAAACATACAGGGAAAACTAGAAAGAATAGTAACATGAAATCTTTATAACCACCGCTCATTTGTAAAACATTGATAGTTTGTCACATTTAAAATCTAATTTTGTTCTTCTCTTGCTCTTTTTTCAAGATTTAGGTTGTTATTGGTTTTCTTCTCCCCCCCCCCCCCATTAAACTACTCAAAAAAATCTCTAATTCCTGCTGCTTTTTTTTCTGAGAATACTGGATTATTTATCTTTATGGTATTCCCTTTCCCAGACTCATTCCCCAAATGTATTGACTGGTAAATACAAGACTATAAATTACAAGGAAAAAATCAATATTTTATAAATGTATGACTGATTTTATTTTGCCAGTAGGTGACAAAGTTATTTTGAAGTGTCTTGGAGACTGGTATCCCAACAAAAGTAAGTTTTAGATTTGCCCAATCACAGAACATCTGCTGAGTTCTGTATAGATTCAGCTTTTCAAGGGGCAGAGAAGAAGTGTGGTTCCTTTTGATTAAGAATTGGAAGATGAACAGATTGCAGTTAGAGATCATCACATCTACAAAGTCAACACTGAGGAATTGCTCTGACCATATCAACAGAGTCAATGTTGAAGACTCGTTCTACTCCAAAATGAAACTAGGTGAGTATAGGAAGGAGAGAGACCTGTGAAGAGTTTTAAGGAGAAAATTTTGTGTTGTTGAGTCCCCTCTGTCCACCCACCCAAATAGTTTTTTCTTTCTCCTCAAGCATAAAGTGAACTTCACTGGTACCGTTGAGCTCAGAAAGTGTTCCCTGTTAGAAATTCAAGAACCACATCAACATTTTTGCCTATAAGTGAAAGAAGGCTGCACCTGCAGAAAATGAGTTTATCAATATGTCCTTGCACCAAATGTGGGCCACATAGAAGACAGACAATACAGAGTTGCCCAGAACCTAAAGGGTGGTCTAGAGGCATGGAGGAAGCAGATGGCTTAAAGTCAGAGACAGACCAAAGGAATCCTAAAATCCATAGTTTGTTGTAGGCCACCACTTCCATGTCTCTCTACACCAAATACATTTTCTTAAGAGGCCTCTAATAATGGGAATCTCCAAAGAAGGCTTAAAGGCTTCCTTTATGGAAAAAAAAATCAGCTTCTACCATCTGTTAGATACTGTGCTGAACTTCCAAAGAACTGTCCTGGACTCAGGACACAAGCAGATAAAACAGCAGCGAGCTAAGGAGGAGGAGAGCTTTGGTGGCATGTGAGGAGAAGACTGGAGGCTAGGAGCAACCAGCCATGGGCCCTACCTGTGTGGAAGGAGAGAACAGTCTTGGACTGACAATACCTTAGGATGAAGGTCTGCGAATCTGACTACCATTTTGTTCTGGAAACATTCTAATTACTAAGTAAACTCATCTAGACCATCTTTTTTCATTTCAGGGGACTGTTCTGTAAAAGACTATCAATTAGCAAAGAATGAGCCAAAAAGTAAAACTTTTATTTAGGAACCAAGAAGATAACAACCTAAACCCTAGGCAAAACATTTGAAAAGAGCCTAAAGAACAAAGTTGTGATGTGATCATACCCCATGACTTGTGCTTCCCACATCTGAACTTCAGCCTAGGTACTTACTATATGTAGTTATTTCTGTCCTTTGTAGCTTGAATAGAAGTGACTCATGAGTTTTTGGTTTGGGATTTGTGTGTGTATACTGTGTTTTCCATAAGGCCATAGGGCATTCCCACTCTTGTTCCTTCTAATTCTGCCCTCAGGAAGGGCCCTGTAGGTGGTGTCAATTGGCAGACAGTCCAACTAGCATTTCTATTTTCAGAGCTGCCAGTAAACTTGAGCTGGAAACTTGATAACACTGTTATAGTTTGTACCCACTGCTGCTAGCAGTGATCAACATGGATTAGTATCCAGACCAAGTAGAGGCCATGGGGATGATGAAGCAGGTTATAGATCTGATGCCCTGCCTTTTAAGCCATGTGAATAATTAACCTTTAGGAATAAAACTGTCTTTCTTCTCTTATTGGCTCCAAATATTTTCCTGATTTTAAGGAGATCCTTTGGAGTGACAGGAAGCTGAAGCAGAGGGATTCTGCCTTGGTAGTGTCTATGTGGTAACAGAAAGCCTTTCATTACTGCTTTCTGGACTCTGGCCAAACTCGTCAAGTATGTTTCTGCCTCAGACCTCCTCCTTCAGGATCACATGTCTAATGTTGATGGCATGTCCTTTCTAGAGAAAGGCATCTTAAACATAAGGGACTTTTCCAGTACTCTTATCACCAAAAGAATAAAAACCAAAGGAACATTTGAGATATTCAAACTTGAAGGAGAAAAGGCGTGGGTCAAAAGTATAGGATAGAGGGAGAAAATAAGATCCACAATGTAATCCACTATCTAGATAGTTGGGGAAAACCCTCCCCCACTGACACAAGAGTATATTTTACCTTTCTCTGAACGCAGACAGTGTTTAGGGTAGTCATTAATACCATGTAAGCACAGTAGGAACCAACATTCCTCAACTTTTTTTTTTTTTTTTTCAAGACAGGGATTCTCTGTGGCTTTGGAAACTGTCCTGGAACTAGATCTTGTAGACCAGTCTGACCTTGAACTCACAGATCTGCCTGCCTATGCCTCTCCAGTGCTGGGATTATAGGTGTGCACCACCACTGCCAGGCCCCAACATTCCAATTCTGAGCAAGTAGCATTCCCTCTCTCAGCCTCGGTTTACTGACGCATACAATGAGACTACAGAATACCTAACCCAAGGATTCAGTTCACAAAACCTTGGTCATATTTGTGAAGAGCAGCTTTATATGCTAAATAAAGCATTATGGACTAGTATCAATGCCATATTGATATTATCTTGCATTTGTTTAGAGAGATTGCCAAATGTTTTGTTCTTTCGGCCCCATTAAGGATGAGATAGATTTCCTATGTTCATTCCTTCTGCATAGCAAAGTCCCAGAACATAGCTGGCTAGTGTTTATGTCAACTTGATATAAGCTAGAGTCATCTGAAAGGAAGGAACCTTAACTGAGAAAATGCCTCTATAAAATCAGGCTGTAGACAAGCCTGTAGGGCATTTCCTAATTAGTGATTGAGGCATGGTGCTGCCCCTAGGCTGGTGGTCCTGGGTACTATAAGAAAGTAAACCCCCAAATAGAACCTCTGATGCTGGGAATGGGTTACATCTAATTGAGTTGTTGGCCAGAGGGACTCCATGGAAAACCCCAAACAATCCAGTCTATAGCCAAGTCGATTGGTTGTTCTCTACAAACTGATGGCTACTCTGTATTGTTGAAGACAATACCTATCTAACTCAATGAACATGGGGAAATCAAGCTGGTGCCTACCTAGAGCCTTCACCCCTGCTGATTGGTGTCCTGGTACTGGAAGGTACTCTGCATGCTACACCAAAGGAGAAAGGTAAACACCAACCCAGCTACAAACACTTTGATCTACAATGGTGACTTGCCTGCAAGACATGCTGGTCCAATAGTAGCACAAAAGCTGTGGGAGTGACCAGCCACTATCTGATTGGATTTAAGGCCCACTCCATAAGAACCTATGCCCTACACTGCCCAGATGGCCAAGAACCTGAGGCTAGATACACCATGGACCTAGGGAAAAACCAAACACTATTGTTCTGCTAAAGGAACATAGCAATAAAATGAATGACTCCTGAAGGCATTCTACCATAGAAAAATCAGTGTCTCTTTCAGCCGTTATCAGTGAATCTTCTTCCTATGGCAGATGGGAATAAATGCAGAGACTCACACAGCTGGACAGTGTGTAGAAGGTGAGAGGCCTTGTAACACTCAGTCCTAATTGGGATGGCTCCATCAAATCCCTCCCCTCAGGGCTCAGGAAACTCTGAAAGAAAAGGCGGAAAGATTGTAAGAGCCAAGAGGGATAGGAAGACCAAGGAAATAAGACTGTCTAGACACAATATAAACTCACAGAGACTGGCAGTATGCACAGATCCTACACAGCTCTAAGCCAGATGGGGTCCCAGTGTTGAGAGGGAAAGCAGACCCAAGCCCCCACCATCCCTAATCCGGAAGCTCTCTCCAACTGATAACCACTCTATAACAGAGTCTCACCAGGTATACAAATAACACTTAAGGGCAGGCCCCAGGCCCCAGGCCCAGCAGCAGATGGCCAACACAAACTCAATGGTATTTTTTTTTTTTTTTGTCTTATGGATCTTTTTATTACATATTATGGTTTCTAATTTTTTTTTTTTTTGAAACAGGGTTTCTTTCTTTAGCTTTGTAGACCAGGCTGGCCTCAAACTCACAGAGATCTGCCTGCCTCTGCCTCCCGAGTACAGGGATTAAAGGTGTGTGCCATCACTGTCCAGCAACTTTGTTTTTATGAGTTCTCTCTCTCCTCTCTCTCTCTCTCTCTCTCTCTCTCTTTGTGTGTGTGTGTGTGTGTGTGTGTGTGTGTGTGTGTGTGTGTGTGTATGCGAGCATCTGTGTTTCTTGTGCCTTTTCTTTGGCACTTTTTGTTTTCTGTTTTGTCCTATCAGTTTTGTTTGTTTTTTAAATCTTATTTATTATATATCTGTTTGAATTCTCAGAGAGAGGAAAGGCTGTGGATTGGGGGTGGATCTGGGAGGAGTTGGGGGAGGAGAAACCATAATCAGAATACATGGTATGAAAAAAAAAATCTATTTTCAAGAAAAAAAATTCAACATGTGCTTACCATATAGCCATACACACACAAAAACAAAACAAAACAAAACAACAAAAACCAGACTGGGGAAGCCATGAGGTATAGTAAGCCACTATGCAGCACTCCTCCATGCCTCTGCATCAGTTCCTGCTTCAGGTTCCTGCCTGGTTTAAGTTCCTGTCTTGGCTTCCCTCCATGGACCATGGCTCATGATCTATAAGCCAAACAAACCCTTTGCTTTCCCAAGTTGCTTTCTGGTTATGATGCTTTCATCACAGCAGCCATAGCCACAACCAAGGCAGTAGGTGCATGTCAAAGGCAAGGTAACGTGCACTACTGAGCAGTGACCTCCAAAGATAGGGACAATAGGACTTCTCTGGCCTGAGAATAAAGAGAAAGGACTTGGGAAGACACAGAAGGCAGGCTCAGGGAGAGTTACTCCATAGGAGCAGAGCAGCATTTATGTGGGGGCCAGAGCTCCCAGGACACCTTAGGATTAAACAAGGGCATCTTTCAGAAGCAGCCTGAGGCAGGAACCCTCTCAACATTCAGATGCTGTCCCCACTTTTTGCTTTTCATTTTCTCCAGGGCTCAGGGAAACAAATGAATCATTTTGGTTTTGAAGTGTAAATTGCCTTACATCTCTATTTTCATGTTTTTTTTCTTTTTTTTTTTTTTGTCCTATAGAATCTCAATATTTTCCACTACCAGAAATAATTTTAAAATGTTCAGATCTTCATAGAGACAGAATGCTTCAGGGATTTTGAAAAAGAATTACAGTAAAACACAATGTTAAAGATAATATTAAATAAATTATACATGTTATTTTCCAAGAACATAAACAATGCAGTTTGTCTGTCAAACAAATACTTAAATGGACAAATTTCTTTCAGGAAAGTTTTTTTTGGGGGGGGTTAATTGCCTATGGGAGGGGAACAGCAGAGTTTTGAAATGCCTGATACCACTGACTGGTCTAGACCAGCGAGTCTCAACCTTCCTAGTGCTGGAACACCATTTAATATAGTTCTCCCAACTTTAAAGCCATTTTAAAGCAATTTTCATTGCTACTTCATAACCGTGGTTTTGCTACCATTATGAATTGTAATGTAAATATCTGTGTTTTCCTATGGTCTTAGGTGGCCCCTGTAAAGGGGTGGTGGCTCTCATGTTGAGAACCTCTGGCATGGAGTGTCATAGTAAGAAGCAACCAGATTGTCTGGAACCAGTTCTATGGGCCTGAGAAGTAAATTAGGTTCCATCTCAGTTTTCTGTTCTGGGTGGTTCATGACAATTCTAATAGGAGTAAGTCGCCCCCTGGAGGGCAAAGAGAGCATTGTTCTTTTAGGCAGCTTCCCCAAAGTTTAGTGCATTCCTTGACTCCTTGACTATTTTTTTTTTTTTTTTTGATAGATTCATTCGTTTATCCTTCTGTTCAACAGATACCAAGAAAACACTATTACTTTGGCTGTTAACTATGAGAGATGCTGAAGGTACCACCAAGAACGACATAAACACAACCCCCCCCTCTTCCAGGAAAATTACAGTTCCAAGTGAAAAATAAATATTACAAGAATCATTTGAATGCCTAAAGAATCATTATATGCCCCATAAAGAAAAGTGTGGTGAAATATTATGATTTATTAAAGCTTTTCTGAAGACTCATAAAGCAAAGTAAGCCACAGCCATGGAAACCAGGCACACACCTTTAATCCCAGGAGCCAGAAGCTAAGAGGTGGTGGTGGTACACACCTTTAATGCCAGGACTCATGAGAGGTATGTAAGTCAGTAGTATCAGGATTCAGAAGAGGCTTTCATACTCCAGCCACAATGAGGAAAGTTTACCGTCTGAGGCTTGGTGAGAGCTTGTGGAGACAGGATCAGTGCATTCAGCCTAAGGTAAAGGTAAGAAGCTAGTGGCAGACTGCTTTGCTTTTCTGATCTTCAGCTTGAAGTTTGAAGCCCAATATTTCAGCTTCTGGGTCTTTTATTATTTGTGTTACAGAAAAGGTGCAGCGAAATAAATGCGTATGTCTTTCCAAAATGCACATACTTAATTAAATCTTAGCCCCTAGGATGGGGCATCAGGAGATGAGAGGGCTTGAGAGTAATTTTTAATGAATGTGGCTAATGTCCTTGTAAAAGAGACCCCAGAGAGATCCTTCTGTAAGATTAAAGTAAAAGGATGATGATGTATGAGAAAGTAGCCCTCACAACACATGAATCAGCATCTTGATCTTCAAGTGTCCATGACTGTGATGAATACATTACTTATAAATGACCCAGCACATTCTATTTTGTTACAGTGCACAGTAGAATAAGACAGAAAATTGAGGAGTAATAGGACTATTCAACGAAGGACACCATTCAGGGAGGGAGGTCAAGACAGTTTCCCAGTGTGGATCTGGAAGATGGGTGGGAAGAACAGATTAAAGGTGAGAAGGTTCAAGGAGAGATGCAGAAGGAAATCAAGCACCTTAAGAGTGCCAATGCTTGGAGAGGCAAGGAGCATAGGAAGTTAGAAGGAAAGGAGACCAGAATGGAAAGTATACCACACAAACTAAGGCTAAGAACAATGGGGAGACCCCAGAAACACATGGAGTCTTGGGGGACATGTTGGGGCTTCTGAACTGTGTCTCCAAAAACTGGGAGCCCTGTACTGACCAGCTCCCAGATCATGACACCGGAGACTTATTAGTTTTGAATGCTCAGCCTTAGCTTTGGCTTGTTTCTGGCTAGCTCTTTTAACTTGTTTCTCTTTCTCTACCTTTTGCCTCAGGGCTTTTTACCTTTCTCCTTTCTGTATATCTTACTGCTTCCTGTGTCTGTCTGGCAGCTGCCTGGTTGGCCCCAGAGGCGTCCTTCTCTTTCTCCTCCTCATCCTTTCTCTGCCTAGCTATCAGCTATTCTGCTTTTTATTAGACTAACCAAGAAAGATAAATAACAGCACATCTTTTCATAATTAAACAAATGTAGCACAAACAAGTGTAACATATCCTGACATCATTAAACAAATACAGCATAAACAAATGTAACACACCTTTACACAGTTAAAGTAATATTCCAAAGCATAAACAAATATGACACATCTTTGCCCAGTTAAAATAATAGTCTACAGCAGAGCCCACTACCAGGTTTTATGCAAGTAAATCACTATGCCTGCCTTTTTAAAGGGTCATTCTGTCTTCCTGGAGATCTTTATACAGGGGCTGGGCAAAGATCAAAGAATTGAAAACAGTAGCCTAAGTGATCTAGGCAAAAATGATGGGAGCTGAAGGTGGCTTCCACAGAGATGTGGGAGAATTTGATATATTTTAATGTCAGAATTAGTAGGGGTTGGTGGTGATTATAAGCTTAAAGTGGATGATAGCCAAAAATGGCTCCTTCCCCACACTCCAGTCCCTTGGGTGCTCATGCAAGAATTAAGGAGCCACTTATAGAACAATGACAGGAAGAAGATGAGCGGAGACCATTTTGTTAGGTTGGAACAATCTGTTTCAAGGTAGACTCATCACCTATTCATTGAGGCTCCTACTACATGTCCAGCACAATGCTTGGCACTATACACTGATGGTTGACAAGCAAAGGTGGTCTAATTGCTAGGACTGAAGGCATGTGCCACTATGCCCAGCTGAGTTCTGTAACCTTAATGAAGCTGAGTTCTGTCACTGCCCAGTATACTTGCTTTTGAAAATCTTCTTAAAAGTAACCAAAGTGGTTGAAAATGGAACTTTAAAACTTTAAAAGCAAAGAAAAGGAAAACTTAAACATTTCCAATTAAATATCAATACAACATTGCCACTAAAATACAAGATAATACAAGGGAGAAAACTACAGAGAAAGCAAAAAAGCTAAATATTTGGAGATGAAACCAAAGCACAAAATGTCATAATTGTTTCAGGAATACAAAGATAGGTCAATGTTAGGAAATCCATTAATATAATTTAAATGTTGTATATAAGAAGAAAAGCCTTGTTATTATCTCCACAAATGGCGAAAAGGCATTTGAAAACTTCAAAATAAGTTCCTAATACAATAATTTACAAAAGAAGAATAAAGGCATACATTCATAGCATCACAATTCGTCTAGTTTACTGTAATGATGCAGAAACACGGGAGGTGCTTCTAATGTCCAGTCATCAGTGTGACACCACATAATTTTGGAGGCACTTGCCCTGTGGTTGTGTTTACTTTTT